CATGAATAAATGAAAACTAAGGATGATTCAAAACTGACCCTTATACGCCCCTGTTCTGTTTATTACAAATCTTACTCTGTCGATGATGTTTCAGGATTTTCATCTTCTTCAAGTATAATGTTCATAGCTTGTACTGATGTTGTTGTTATATTTGTATTAGTTGTACACTGTTGTAACAATAGTGGTTCTTCATCATCTTCAACTAGAGCTAAAAGCAAAACAAAAACAAGAATTCATCGAAATCAAACAGCTTGTTAAATATTGCTATATGTGCCTAATGATTAACTCTCTTTTTTTTGTGTATTCGTTCGTATTTTGATAAGCAGTGATTTATTTTGAAATAAAAATAAACTTTAAAATAAAACGAAGAATTCCCTACTTGTAATAATGTAGAAAGAAAAAAAGAAAAGCAAGTGCAACTACTTATCAATAGCAGCGCGCACCATTATTAAAATACTGTAAGTATTGTATTTGATCATATTCAATTTATTGTCAATTAAAATAGAACAACTGACAAAAAGAAAATGAAACATTCGATTGAATTTAATCTTTAGCTTTATCATTTGAAGATAATTAATAAAAGAAATAAAAGAAAATACCTAATAAAATTTGTTCATGGCTTGAATCAATTGAATGTTTTGGAGTCATGAGCATTGGTGATATATTTTCTTTTCCAAAACTAAAAATAGAAGAAATATAGGTTGATTATTAAAATAAAAATTTCTATTAATATAACCATTATTGTCTTTTATTCTCTAATATAAATTGTTACATATTATCAAAATTTTCATGCATAGAATTTCGTTTTGATGTTGATAAAGAAATATCAGCAGAATTATAACTAAATTTTTTTTTACTAAAAATAATTCATTATGCTTACTTTAATGTTGAAGATATAAATATATTAATTTGTTCTTTAAATGGATCATTTGCAGGTTGTAATGAACATTTTTGTCGTTTAACAGTTCGATTTTTATTATTGAATTTATCATGAAAAATTTTTTCAGCAAGAAGATGATATGTTGCTGTTGTATGATTATATTGATTGTCATTTAAAGATTTTAATATAATTTCTTTTTCAGCAACATTTCCATCAATCATTTGACGAAGAATAAATTCATGATCATCTTGTGATATTAATTTTAATGAATCAATATAATATTGTTCATTATCATAATCATCATCTTCACATTGTCGATACCATATATCAGACATAACTTCATCAAGTGTTGCACGTTTTTCTGGTTCACGTACAATCATTCGATGAATTAAGCTATTTAAATTAAACAAAATGAATATTAACGGATGAACAAAAAGTTTTCAGACAATATGTTCTTTTATTTTTCGACTGATATAGAGGATCAGCAGAAATTTTAAAACATCGGATTGGAATTAGAATTTTATATTTTAGGAGTTATGAAAGAATCTTTGAAAGTTATGAAAATAAATTTTGGACGAAGACAGTTGCACGAACACATACTTACATAGAGAAAGCGAGCGTATTTCGTTTGAAATTGTTTCCATTGTTTTTTTTTCAGTGATTTTTCTTATGAAGGAAGATCCCTATGTAATAAATCGCTATTAAGCTGGAACTATATTCAATCTATAGGGTCTAGTGAGTAGATTAATAGTTTAGAGTAGCTCGAGCTGTTAGAATTTTGTTGGTAAGATATTGAAGTTTTAGTAGATTTTTTCTGCAAAGATCCAATTTTCAAGCAATATCATACTTTTGAATTTTGACATAAAACTTTGTTCACATCAAGGTACCGATTAGACTGGTTTGTAGAGAAAAAAAAGGCAGCATTTTTTTTGACTAAGTCTCTTTGAGATATGAATTTCTCAAAATATAAATGTTTTTACAATAATCATGGGAAAGCGTCTGTAGTCCGAAAAACCATATCTTGGAAAGACTTTGTCAAAAATTTTTAATCTTTTTTTTCTACAAACTAGTCAAATTGGTGCTTTTACATGGGCAAAGTGTTAATTCTAATCTGATATTTTACAATTTCTGTTGATCTTCTGAATTGCTTGAGAAATGAGAAGACATTTTGTCTGAATACTTTTGACCCATCCGTTACAAACAAAAAAAAAACAAATTAATTACTTTTGACATGCAAGAGAAATATTTGATGGAACATTATAAGAACAATCAAGTATCATCATTACTGTTTCGGAATCATTAGCTTCTTGGAATGGTGCATGACCAGTTACAAGCATAAATAATATTACACCCAAACTCCAAATATCTAAATTCATATTTATATCTTTGAAAAGAAAAGAATTTTTCTATTTGTACACTTACCAACTGCTGGTGCATCATACGGATCACCAAGTAGAATTTCAGGCGCTGAATATGCAAGAGATCCACAACTTGTTAACAATTTTTTACCAGGTGAAAATAGATTAGAAAAACCTTTAATAAAAAGATATATATATATATAAATGGACTATCTTAAAAGAAAATCAATTTGTACCGAAGTCAGTTAATTTAACAACACCTTGTTTTTCGAAGAAAACTAAATTTTCTGGCTAAAAAAAACAAATTTAAAAAAAATTAAATATAAGAATTTTATCAAGAAAGTTTCTTTCTATAAAATAGAGTTTCTATAAAGTCATTTGAAATAATTACTTAGCGTAAAATGAAATTAGAACATTTCAAACAAATTAATTTTTATTTCTTATTCAAATAAAAGAAAAATAAGTATTGTTCAAGTAAATCTAAAATTTGTCAAAAGTTTTCATCGAACCGTATCCATACGCATTTGTGCTCATTTATTTCAATTAGTTTGTACATTAGAATAAAATTTATTAATTTAATATCTAACTCTTTAATTATCTAATAGAAAGTTGCAAGTCCACATTTTTGTGGATCCAAATCTGACAGAAGCAAAATTGCTGGCTCCGAATCTGGAAAGATCCACAGCTCCCTATAATCTAATAGATGCAATCGGTAACTGAATCTATCTTGTTGTATATATGGCAACATGTTTGAAAATCAAGTCTAAATCACATGAAGAAAATTGTTTCTCTAGCTCATATTTTGTTTACAGGTAGATCTTATTATGTAGATAGAAAGTCTAAAGCACTTCGTCCAATGAGATCTCTCTTCTCGAGTTATACTCATTTTATTGAAATTCCAGTACATAGCAGAATAATACGAAAAAAAAAACAGTAATAAGAAGTTTCCGATTGGAATTTTACACAACAACAAAGATCTAATGATATTCTGAAAGTTTCAATTCAAACAGATGTTTCTCTTCCAAAATAAAATACTCGCGAAAAAACATTACTTCCTCAGGAAAATTCCAAAACTAGCGCATTTTTTTTAGATATCCGATATCTTAAGAAGAAATCATTCGTTTAAGTTGAAACTTTCACAACACCATAAGATCTACTATTGTGGAAAATTTCTTATTACTATTTTTGTTTTCGTAATATCTCATCCTAGACTAAAAATTCATTAAAACGAATATAACTCGAGAAGAAAGACCTAATTGCATGAACTGTTTTACGTCTTCTATCAACATAATAAGTCTTGCTTATGAGTAAAATATAAGAAAATATCAGTGGGAGGAGTTTAAAACACGTCGGATTGGTTCCGGCTTCAGAAATTTTGGATCTAATGAGCTTTACCCTACAGATTTCTCAGACGATGCGTCTGAAAAATGTGCCGGATGCACTAATCACCAAATACAAAAAACCAGAAAAAAGTATCTCGTATCTTTGGAGTGATTATCGTATTCCGATTAGAAAATTTCATTGAAAGTATTAAAGTACGGTTCGAACGGGTTCGAAAATTGTGGACTCAACGGCTCTAGATAGATTCCTTCGTTAATTTGATTAACGTAAAACATGATATGAACAATTGAAATGTAAACATGAATCAAATTTCTTATTGAATTTAATGATTAAATCTTACTTTAAGATCACGATGACACACAGACATTTCATGACAATATTTAAGTGCTCGACATATTTGTCGAAAATATCTTCGTGCTAAAGATTCATTAAGACCATTAGCATGTTTAATAATATAATCATACATATCACCTCCATCAGCAAATTCCAAAATAAGACAAAGTTTATTTGGTGTATCAATAACTTCATATAAACGAACAACATTTGGATGTTGAACTAATTTCATACATTTAACTTCTTGAAATAAATGAGTTTTAGATATTTCATCTAATTTTGTTTTATCAATAACTTTAACGGCAACTTCTTTTTGTGTAAAAATATGTCGAGCAATTTTAACAACAGCAAAATGACCTTTACCAATTGTTTCTCCTATTAATAAAAAATAATTTTTAGATTATAAAAAACAAAATCCAATTGATAAGTTACCAAGAGTATAAAGATCATTAACAAAATTATGTAGATCAGAAAATTGATGTTTATAAGACATAAATATTTAAGATATCATTACATCTTTTAAATTTTTGTTTTTCTTTCTATAATTACAAAATAAAAATTGATAAAAATTTCATTGACAAAGTCTACAAAAACAAAATTTTAACTTAATTTATAGATAAAGATAATCATCAATATAATTCAAGAAGTAAATACTAATAATAGTCGTTGATTATTCTTTCATTCTATTTTACATGCACATGCAATGTGCACTATTAACTAGAACGACGGAAGTCATCGACTCTATATAGAAATAACATTCGTAGTATCTTTCATAAGAAGGAAAAATGTCTATATCTTTCTTTTTTTCATCTGAAACTTAGATATAAGAAAAAAAAACAAACTATATTATGAATAAATTTTTGCTTTTTATTAGCAGCTCAGAGGCCATGACAATCGTCATTATGATCAGTTTACATCATTTATGGAAACCGAGTCTTTTCTTTCATCATTGCTGCTAAATGTGTAACAAAATGATCATGATCAATCAACACTAATAGTAATATTAATTAAATTTGAAATGTTAATTAGAATATACTATCTATCATTCTAATAATCTTTATGTTGTTTACGTTTTGCTTTTTTTTTTATCATCGATATTTGTAGACATTTACGATTTGTTGTTGTACACAAAATATTATCTATTCTAATGGCTAATTATAGAGTCGTCGTCATCAGCAGGAGGGAAACGAAATAGAACAACTGCTATTTGGTTTATTTTTATCTTTTTCAAAATACACGTGATGTATTCAAACAAAAGCAAAAGAAAATTACGGATGAATTCTATTGGATTGACATGTCAATATTATTTAATTATTTTCTATAACTTCAATTACAAGTCAGAAAAATATGATTTCTTTTTACTAGTTATTGTACATGTAGAATAATCATGATTTGTTTATTTTCTTAGATCTATATCTTACGAGAAGCTGGAATTGTCAAGCATTTTCTTATCACTTACATCAATTCCTACTAAAAAGAATATGAGACAATATAAAGTATCAACAAGAAAAAAATTCTTACATAGTAATTATTAGAAAGCATTAGTTTATGTATAATTTTAGATGTCTACCAATAGAATATTTGGCCAATTTCATAAAACATAGAGTGAATGCACCACTGTATAACTTCAGCAAATCTTCTGAAGGTTAGCAATAGCTCGTCTGCATTGATTACCTAAAATAGCATAAGGTTTGTAAGCATACAATATCATTCGAAAGCTATGCTTCCTAATTAATAATTACTAAGCAAGAATTTTTTGTTAATGATACTTTATGTTATTTCCGACGCGTTCTTAGGACTTGATGTAAGTAAAAGAATCTCATACAACATACCGTTACCATAATGAATATGAGAAAACATTTGACAACCCCTGTTTGCTCGTAAGATATAGAACTCAAAAAATAATAAATCATCAACATTCTATATGCATTACAACTGATAAAAAAAATCACATTTTGCTGACTTGTAGTTGAAGCTATATATAAAAAGAAACAGAATTCGAGTATCCACTTGACTGTACATGTCACCTTTAGGCAATGTTTATTTTTAGACTTTGATTATGAAGAATCAAAATAATTGAGTCTGTTTAGCTATTCTTCAAAGAATTGGTTAAACTCTCATAAGCAGAACAAATATGAATTTGAATATTTAAATAACTGTAGAATATTTTCAACCAAGAAAAAAATAAATATAATATTCCTATTATATTTGTTTTAACTATTTATTGTTTTGTAATCCATCATTATTTTCAATTCATTGAAGTTGCAAATCAGCTAGTTTTACATTAGCAATTGTTATTGGTGTCAAGTGGATCATAAAGAAGAACACTTTTTGTTTTTCGTTGGCATCTAATGTTTTCATTGTTTTGAATCAAATTTTTTACATCGACATGAAATTCTCTATAAATTTATCTATAATATTCAATGAATATTTTCTCTTTCATTTTTAAAATCAAGCATAACTTTAGCAAACTATTGAGTACAACTTACAAAAATTTTTTTTTTCAATTTTATTTCTATATAACTATGGAAAACTTTTTCGAAAGAAAAACACGGTTCAACTTGCGAAAAATTTATGTTGGAATGTGGTTGTTTCTGTGCCTCATCGCGATATTGATGTGATGCACCTTTCACCGATATGTATAAACACATAAACTGAATGGCTTTTGAGGTTTATTAAAACTGCGATTACTTGCCGTTTTATCACAAAATTTTTTCCATGGATAGTTCGTTAAGTTTGAAGCTCTCTATTGATACAATTTTTAATTCATGTTTTAAAGCACACTGTTATTAATTAAGCCAATTGTTACGAACTTAATTGTAATCATCAAAAGTTTCTCAAAAAGATTTACACATATGTAATATTCAAAGAGATATATGCAAGAAAAAAAGAAGTGAGATTTGAATACTTCGAAGTAAGATTGAAGTATCATAGTTCATTCGTACTTCGGACTACTCAAGTCTCACTTTTTTCGCTTAGGTATATGACAATTAAAAGCCTTAAAAGGATAGATTTTCCTCAGTCTTCTATCCAGAGTTATAGGCATTTACTGGAATTTTAGCCGATGTCATGGTATATACCAACAAATAGATCTATTTGTAAGTAGAATATCTTGGAAAGGAAATCTTTCTTTGAGCTGAAATTTCCAGGACATTCTACTTACAAGTAGATCTGTTTGTCGGCGAAAGCTCAGATCGAAATACAGTCATTTGATTTGTTAGTATATACCATACGATGGGCTGAAATTTCAGTAAAATGTTTATAACTCTGGATAGAAGGCCTAAGGACATTTATTCTTTTTGGGGAGTATTTTATATCTCACTAAAGTCTACTTTATATACAGAGTCCAAACTCAAAAAGCGATTGATCAGTTGAATACATTCCCTCATTAGAGTAATGTCTACAGTTACATTTAATATATTATATGTTATTAATGAATTTTTAGTTGCTGGTATTAAAAGGAACAGCGTGGGATGCGAGTAACTGTTAGAAGAGTAAATATCATGCATTTATCACTACTCTATCCAGTTAGATACATAGTTTGTCTTGTACAGACGTAATAAAATAGATTTTACAATATTCTGAATTTTTCTACGAGATTGTTCTGCTTGTTTTTCTAATTTCTATACATAGATCATTGCAATCCCTGTAAGACTTGGGTGTGGGTGTGGAAAGACACACACACAAGCTATTTTTAGGATGACAATGATTCATCATAACATAGAATACGATAATTTCGTTTTTCTACATGACGTATTTAAAGAAAACTTACATTTTTTTTTAATCTAATGATAGAACTTTCTCAAATTCTAAAATAAAAATTCAATTGTTATCTTATATTCATAATAACATAATACATACTTAATAATACTAGATATATAAAATTATACTCAATTATTTACAAAAAAAAAATAATATTTAATTCTGAAATAGATTTAAAAATCAAATAAAAATATAAATGAAATTTCAATATCAGCTCAGACAGCCAAGACAATCAGCATAAAAAAATTTTCAGTCGTTTTTTAGCGAAACCATGTCTTGTTCTTTCATCATAGCTGTTATGTAATATATATATACATATATATATTGATTAAAGATACAATAATATGTATACATTTATATATCTGATCTGTTTTATATTTCTTTTCAATGGTTTCAATGGAATGAAAAAAAAACTAATATCTTTTTCTCTATATCACAACAAATGAACAAAAGACAAAAAAAAATCCCTAAGATCCACAAGATGTCCAAGACATACTGGTAAGAGAAGTTATATAAAAGAAAAAAAAATGAAGTGTTTATCTGTGAGTCGATTGATTGTGTTTTTTCCGTAGTCAGATCTAACATCTCATTCAATAGATAGTGAAAAACTAAGAGAAACGAAAAAAAAAAGTAAAATAAAATAAATGAGTTAAAATATCAAGAGAGAGAGAGAGAGAACAATCAAAATAAACATCAATTTGAATACTCAAGTTTCACAGGTAAGAGGACAAGAAGAAAGAGAATATATAATTTGTTTTTGTTTTTTAATTCAATTTTTCTTGTTGAAGTTGTTGAAGACGTTTAAATTCTTTTAATACAGGTAAATTAAGCATTGTATCATTATCAATATAATTCCAGTTAATAGCTTTTGGACATGAAAATCTATTTTGTGTATAAATAATTCGTTGTGGTGTTATAACAACATTAACTGGTCTAAAGAAATAATTCAATTAACAAACCTTTATAAATTAAAAAATTTTAACATACAAATCATGTTCAGTCATAACTGATACTGGAAGATCATCAAGTAATTGACTTTCATGTACAGTTGTCACAACAAGTGTTTTATCATTACATGCACCTAGTTGACGCATCATTGCATATTCAATATCACCGTAACCTTTACCTTTACCTAAAATTATATTTTATTTAGGTTAAAACAAAAAAAAAATTTGTTCGAAATTTTTTTTTTTGAAAAAGTAATACTAATATCGACTTGAAATTTTGATCAAAAGTAATTCGATTGATGATTTATCAATCATATGGATATCAGTGAAATTTATACATCAAATAAATTTTCAGTCTGCAGAATTTTGTATTCTTTCTGAATGTAACTTCAGAATTTTTTGTATGACTTCTGGTTTAAGAATTATGAGTCAATGTTTCATTCAGCATGGCAATGCCTCGTCGAAAATCGGATTGATCCTCCCGGAATTTGTAGTTATTGTACTATGTATTATGTGTTTGTGCGCTCAAAAATAGGTGATTGTCCTCGCGAAGTATTAAATCGCTCCCTCGGAAAAGAAAATCTGGACAAAATACTGACCTTTTCTCAAGGTCCGCAAATTGAGTTTGGACAAGCTTCAACTCATTTTTCTATGGAAAATAGACTTGCAAAGTGAGTTCGACCATTCCTGAATGATTGTTCATTAGCAATTAGATATATGAAAAAATTTTTTACAATCTCATGACAGAAATAGAATTTAAGCTTTTGCTTCCGACAGATATTCA